GGGCCATCGCGCATTGACACAAGAGCTCCCACAGGGGGGCGCGCCCACAATACCTCCCCACCAGACAAGGCTGCTCCCAGGACGAAGGCAGCTTTGAAGGAGCAGCTACACGGCTGCTGTCATTCCCAAGCGCCCTGGATCGCAGGCTTGCCATGATCGGCACGAACGATTTCCGCGATCAGGCAGGGCGGGAGAACAGTGACAACCATGAGCCCGTTGGGCACCCGTATGGCGGATAGTGGGGTGGAAGCTGGGGTACGGTGCAACCCTGGGGGGGGGCTTGGGAGTGCCAGGCATATGTACGTGTGCGAGGCGACCAGCAGCCCAGCAGCCCCGGAGGCCCACAGTAGCATGATGGATGCGCGCATTGTCTGCTCAGGGGAGTCGCGTAAGCTGGCGAGCGTAAGTGGGGCAGCGGCCAGCCGAGGCCGCTGAGGTGGCAGCGATGATGGGGTCGTAGGCGATGCACCAGAGGAGGGGACAGGCGGTACCTCCCATTGCAAAAGACCTAGCGAGACTTCTCCGAAGGCCTACGCAGGTGCCCCTCAGCGCCTGCACGTCACGGCGGACAACAAGGTCGAGGAGGCCTTGCTGCAGCCATGCTGGGAGTCCCCAGCGGTGAGTAGAGCTGCTAGCCATTGGAGCGAGAGCATCTCAAATGCTTTGATCTGATCTGCGAAGAGAATAGCGGTCGAGGGGGAGGGCCGACGTCGCGGGTGGCCTTCGCTATGTGTGCTTCCACGATGGCAGAGGTCCTTCCGAGAAGGCGGCTCCACGTCCCGCCTGGATTCGGCGGTGCTAGGACTGGAGCGCGCCCAAGGTGCTAAGTAGCCGCACTTATGTTAGGCCCGCGCTGTCCGCCCTTCTCGGCGGCTTGATCGGGGGACAGCTGGGGTTCGACAAGGGGGCCGAGCAGGCCAGCAAGCGAGGCCCCAAAGAGGCGGCGCATACAGGTGGGGAGCTGCAGGGGCCGCAGTACGTTGGGGCACTCAGCATTCGGGATGTTCAGGATCCACACCAGAAGGTCGACCGAAGGGCCGAGAACGGTGGTGAGAAGCGAGGGGTTCCGGTCAGAGACGTGCCAAGCGTTAGCGAGGAGGAGGGAGACAAACAGCAGCCCAGAGTGGTAGACCTCGCAGGGATCGCCATCGACTCCTGGGGCGCTGCCGAAGGGCCAAGAATCAAAGCTGCCAGGCCTCCGCAACAGGGGCGCGGGCGATCTGGTAGGGACATCGCCCGGCCACTAGCAAAGTAATCATCCAGCAGGGCGCGAGCTGAAGGAGGAAGGAGAGGAGCATGTCTGCCAGATGTCAGCGCGACTGTTCCAAAGGATTTGGTCGACGTCGTCTGGCCTGTCCTTCCATGTCCCGTCGCCGCCTCTGACCCCGCTGAGCGCATGCGCCTTTTTGAAGATTTCTCTGCCCATCTGGCAGTGTGGAGCCAGCGGCGCGCGCTCTGCTCCGGGGCCTCTCTGCCATGGGGATAGGCGCGCCGCCGCTCTTTGGGTCTGGTCGGCCCTCCAGCGTGCCAGCCACGACGCCGCGGCGTCTGGAAAGAGAGGTCACTGCCGCCCCATCCGTAGGAGGTCATCCACCCGGCAAGGGGGTTCACACGGGTGGAAGGTTTCAGAGCTGGATGCAGCCCTGGCTAACACGCGGCCGATGCACTGGACACGCGCACGCCGGTCCCACAAGGACCGGATCATGGCAGAAAGCGCACGGCGCCCAAAGAGGCCCATACGAGGGCAATAGGAGGGGGCGGCGCCGCGGTAGGGGCGCTGGGGTTTGCTGGCGGGGATGGTGCCGCAGGTGCTTCGGTGGCGACTCCTTCTGCGGGATGGCCTGAGGGGAGATGCCCCTGGGACGCTGCTCGAAGCCAGTCGGGGGGCTGAACAAGGCCAGAAAGATCCACTAGAAGGACCTGCCCGCGTGGCAACAAACAAACAAACGCACACACACACACACACACACACACACACACACACACGCACGCACGCACGCACACACACGCACGCACGCACGCACGCACGCACGCACGCACGCACGCGCGCACGCACGCACGCACGCACGCACGCACGCACGCACGCACGCACGCACGCACGCACGCACACACACACACCACACACACACACACACACACAACACACACACACGCGCGCGCGCGCGCGCGCACACGCGCGCACGCACGCACGCACGCACGCACGCACGCACACACACACACACCACACACACACACACACACACACACACACACACACACACACGCACACACACACACACACACACACACACCACACACCACACACACACACACACGCACACGCACACGCACACGCACACGCACACGCACACGCACACGCACACGCACACGCACACGCACACGCACACGCACACGCACACGCACACGCACACGCACACGCACACGCACACGCACACGCACACGCACACGCACACGCACACGCACACGCACACGCACACGCACACGCACACGCACACGCACACGCACACGCACACGCACACGCACACGCACACGCACACGCACACGCACACGCACACACACACGCACACACACACACACACACACACACGCACACACACACACACACACACGCACACACACACACACAAGCGCGCGCTCGGCGCCCCTCACCGCATGACACGGCGCCAGGGAGCCAGCATCTGCGCGTTTGCAGCCGACGCGGCACCAGAAGGTACCGCATGGCACGAGTCTGGGCAATCAGCGCACCACACCCTGCTGGCGCATAGCACAATGATCCACATGAAACAAAAAATGCAATCAAGAGGGACCCAGTAGCACTGCAAAAGGGCAACAGGAAAAAAGATGAAGGAGAGAGGAGGAGAAGATCACACAGGGTACAATTCCAATATGCCTTGGAACATACCATCGCGCGCAGCAAATTCTTTCCGTCAGCGTCTCTGGTCGGTCCCAGTGAATGCAGGATCCGACGTTGCGGGTGGAATAAAGTTCGTGAGACTTCGGCGACGGCATCAGAATGAAAGGCGCACGCGTCACGAACGCCACACCGTGCATCCACTTGCTACACAAATCGTACGATTTCTGCCGCCTAGCCCGGTCCATAGCTTTCCCGTTGGAGGAGGAAGAAGAGGAAGAGAAGGACGAAGGTGGTGAGGAGGAGGAGGAGGTAGGGGAGTTAAGGTACACTGGACACCGCGACATGCTCCCCAGACAAAGGCTCGCCCATTCAATCGTTAGGGCGGCACTGAAAACCCCGGCAATTCCATGCGACACTGTTGACCAAAAGGTGGCCAGGACGATGGTAGCAAAGCAGAAACATAAATTCTTCAACTCGTGCGCGAATGCGGATACTGGCGACGCAATGCCTGGTCGCGTCGGCACGCGCACTGATGCGCCAAATAGCAGCTGCGAAAACCACATCCACAATATGAACCTTGTCCCCAGACACAAAGTGCAAAGTCGCGAGGAGAAGAGACATCTACGTCGAAGACATCGTCGAAGATGACGACTCCGACGACGACGACGACGACAACGGCGACGGTGGCGAAGACGACATCCACGATGACGTTTCGTTTCGTTTCGCTTCGTTTCGTAAGCGTCTTGCAATGGCGGCTCCTGGCCCCGACGCTGCTGAGCTGATCTACTTACTGGAAGGCAGCCTGGGTTATCTCAAAGTCTGGCGCCATTCAAGCCAAGCACGCTGTCCGTCAGCCCACGACTGCATAGAGCATGGTTTGGCGAGCCGGTCGAAACCAAAATAGTTATAGAAATCTCTCTCCCAGCGCCATATTCCTACAGTGCGGTGGTGCAACTGGGAGCCCGAGGAACGTTGCATAGACGTCATCCAGGACCTGTCCCGATACCTAAGGACACGATAAGCAATGCGATCGGGGCTGGACTGTGCCATTCCCTGGAGGCGTCCTGCCCAAACGTGGGAAGGGCGTCTACAAGTTTGCGGCCACGGCTCGATATCATATCTAGCGCGGGTGGCGGCTACTTGTGACATGGCATTCTTCCTATGTTCATCTGCAGCGTCGGCTGGAGGTGGGCGAACGATTCGCCTCAGCATGGTATTATGACATTTGCAAAGGCGACTAAGCCCCGAGACCGACAGATGCAGGCTCCCGATACAGTATGTGAGGGCAGGGCGGACACAGCGGTCAAGGGCTTTAAGTCGCTCACTGAGGCTAATGTTGGGGTTGGCAAGCATATTCTTGTGCACGGCCCACGCGCGCCACGCACGCTGGATCCTGTTGCCGACCTCCGCCGCGCAGCTCCGATCAAAGGCCACGCGCGTGCCTAGAACCTCGAGGCCGCCCGCCCTGTCGCGGCAGGGGGCCCAGGTGCCTCTCACGCGAAGCGTGCCGATATAAGTAGGATACGTGTGGCACCACTTCATTGCAATGACGGGAACCTCTAGGCCGTTTTGTTTAACATGCGGAGCCAGGCCTCGGTCATCTCTGCGGCCATCGAGGCCGATCGGGCTAAGATCCAGAAATTGTCGGCAAAGCTTAGAATCCCTAGGTTTAATTAAATCCCCCCCCCTGGCATCGCGAGACAGAGCCCCCACCCATTCGCGCGGCAGAGATTCTGAAATGTTCGGAGGTCCGCGCCCAGGAAAACATTGCTCAGCTCGGGCGCGGCGGGGTCCCCCTGGATCAGGCTCCTCTCCCGAAGGACACACTTGGTGAGAGGGTTGCCAGGCATTCGGATGCGAGCGGCAGAGTTGCGGGTCTCCCTAATCCAGAAGCTGCTAGCGACGCGGGACACCCCATGCTCATCTAGACGCTGTGCCAGGAGGGGGTGTCGGATAGTCATAAAACTTATGGATATCTCCCCCAACGACTACGACTGGTGGGTCTCGATATTCACAAAAATTCTCAAATCGGCGGCGGAGGCTATATATAGTCTCGCGCGCCTGGTAGCTACGACGGAAGGCTAACTGGCACTCAGAACGATCGGTCTCCAGGATGGGGCGATGGACCTCCAGGACCATCATCGACAGGATGTTCAGCAGCACCGAAACAAGGGCGATGGGTCTGAACTCGGCCACCTTCTGGGCCTCTGGTTTCTTACGGATCAGCCGAACGACGTGCTCCGTCCAGGTTTGGTCGAAATACTCGCTCACATGATTGCAAAGTGTCAGGCGAAACGCCGCAAGGATCTGTTCGAGAGCACCGGCCTGGAGCCCTTGGATCATCTCAGCCACGATCATGTCAGACTCGGCGCACGATTTGCGACACTTCAATTGCCCGATGACTGTTTTGAGAAGAGGAAGGGAGAGAGGAACCTCCGCCTGTTGGTGCTCGGCGGTCCACTGGCAACGCACCCAAGCGGGCAGAGCCTGGTCGCTGGTCGGGTCGGCAAACAGGTCGGCGTAGAAGGCGCGCGTCAGCTCGCAGCGGGCCTGCACGGCGCTGGCGCTCTGGCCGTCGTCCGTCTTCAGCTCGCAGACGGGCTTGCCCGAGCGGTAGGGTCTGTCGGCCCGCCCCCTCGCGCACAAGCGCCCCGGGTGGACCGCGTTGCAGCGGCCCCTCAGGGCGCGCTTGGCCTTGGCCACCGCGGGCCCCAGCAGGTGCCGCACGCGCATGTCCCCGTCTCCTGCGCGCGCAGCTGCTCCAGGCGCTTCAGGTGGAGGAGCTCGGGGTCTCCCTGTGGAGGTCTCCACCGCCCACGCCGTGGGACGCGGCCGGCCACGGCTGCGCCGGCGGAGATCGCCGTCGACAGCGCGGAGATGGACGGGGCGCCCTGTCTGGAGCACGCGGCCAGCCGTGGCTGCGGGTTGAAGAACTGCGCGAAGGTGTCGCCGCCATCCTCCCTGGATATCTCGGAGCAACGTCTTTTGCGGGCTCTAGTCTCGGCGAGCTTGTGTTCACTAACTCGTTGGCGATACCCTTCCGCTCCCCAGTCGTGGGCAGGGCATGGCCGTCTCCAATGGGCAGCGTTGAAACGCCTGTCCGCACCCCGTTCCGCCCAGAAGTCCGCCTTCTCGTTGCCCACGTTGCCGCTGTGGCCCCATGACCCAGCGGATGCGCATGTCAAAATGCATGGCAGCCCGCTTCCACAAGTGCACGGCCAGGATCGCCAAGGGTGCATTCTCGCGTGGTTGAAAAACTTCAGTGAGGAGCCCCTGGACGTACGTCGAGTCGGTGATCACCTGGATGAGCCTGCCGTCCTGGGCCGTCGGCTCCGGGGAGCCGCGCTGTCCCAGCAGCCACAGGAGCGCCTCCACGATCGCCGAGAGCTCGCCCGTGTTCGCCGTGAGGGCACAGGCGCCCAAGCGGGGGTCCAGGGGGTGGGTGACCACGGGGCCGCACGCCTCGACCATCGGCTCATCCTGGTCGTGCGGCGTGGTGGCGCGGTAGACGGCAAAGCCCCATCCTGCGCAAGAGGCCTGGCGCTGCCCACATCGTCGCCCCCGCGCCGAGCCGCCCGTGAAGATGCCCAGCGCGTTCGCGAGGTCGCCCTCGGTGAAGCCGCCCATCGCGGTCGGGAAGTACGGCACCTGAAACGTCGAACAGACCGTCTCATTGAATAAGTGGGCGCCCTCCAGCTGCCAAGCGACGGGCTTGCGCGGCGGCCGTTCCATCAGATCTGCGTCCTCGAGGGCCTGCTCGGGCACGGAGATCGTCGGGATAGCCTTGGACGCATGGCAGCGCAGCAGTAGGGGGAGATGGTCGCTCTGCTCTGCATCCGTGAATCGAACCTGGCACGTCGCTGAAGTGAGCCACTCGCGGTGGCACAACATGAAGTCGATCTGGCCTGGCTCCTTACGGTTGTCGTAGTAGCATGTAGCTAGTCCCCACTGTCCTCGGGAGAAGGTGTTGGTGGCAACTACGTCGAATTCAGTCATCAAGTCGAATAGCAGTTCGCCCCGCCATGTCATCTTGGCGGCCGAGTGTTGGCCAACCGTCTCTCCGTCCCCAATCCCCAGGACTTCTTGGGCGCCGACGCTGACTATGGCGTGGCAATCAATAGGCATTGTAATCAGACACTCCCTGAGCTGCGCGATGGCCTCAGCGTACTCACAAAAAACGATATGCGAGAACCGGTGGCTAGAAATCAAACGAACGCGTCCCCAGATAGGCAATTGTAAGTCCAGGGACATGGTGCGAGTGTGGAAGCTCGGCGGGCTCACGATGGAAGGGACCAAAGACTCGTGGACCGCAATCGCGCAACTTTGCCAGGCCCCCGCTGGAGACGACACATGAACGACATAGCCATCGAAGAGCTGCTCGGCCCCACCAGCCACGCACGCACCATTATTGGAAAACGATAGCGCGAGCATCAAATTCTGCATGAAGATCGTCGAGGAGCTGTTGCCGCCTCCTGAATCCACGGGCGCCTCTTACATTCCACCCCCGAACTGCAAGGTCCCTGACGTCCCTGACGAAGCGGCGGCCCCTCGACTTGAATCACTGGGGCCTGGGAGGGTCGTTGATCTCCCCGAGCCGCTCGGGGAGCTTGAACTCTGCTAGCTCCTGGCCCAGCAGAGCCTTGGCGAGCGGCTCGGTGCAGATCTCCATCAAGTCCGTGGTGCGCGAGCGCTGCAGGATCCTGATCGGCCTCTCGCTCCCGCTGCGGCGGAAGACCACCTGGCCGCGGTCCCAGTCGCCGTCGAAGGTCTTCATCTTCGAGTCCGCGGTGCAGAGGTTCTTGGCCTCCCCGCACTCCCTGAGCAGCCTCACGGCGTAGGAGACGCGCCGCGAGAGCTCCACCTCATAGGGCTCCTGGTCTACTTTGTGCCACAGCTGGTCATCCCTGCCCCCTGGTACGGTACCTTTCTCCCCTTTCCAGGCCTTCGTGAAGTTCCACATCTGCCGATTGCTGCCGAAGACCACCTTCGCCTGATCACAGAAGCGCCCAACGCCGTAGATTGCCGCGATGCCTTGCGACTCAAGAGTCGCCCTCTCGCTCAGCTTCGATCGAAGGCGGGCCTCGACCTCATCCTTATCCCAAGTGCCATGGAAGCCCGCCACGAACACTACATGCTTCGTATTCTTCCCTCCGCGCGGAGCCTGGGGAGCCACAAACTGGTGCTGCTCGCTGGGGCCCCTGCGCAGATAGTCGCTCCACGGGTCGGCCTGGCACGCATGTCCTGATCCCAGCCCTGGCCGCAGAGGAGCCCCATGTCCTGCAGCCGTGCTGGCATTCGACGACGGAGCTCGCGAGGCCGCCTCCAGTGCGTCGAGTCGAGCGCGCTGGGCCCGCTGCTCCGCCTGGATGGACGAGATGGAGGCCGAGCTGGCACTCACCGTGGTCTGCAATGCCGAGACCTGGGCCTCGACAGCGTCCACCTTCACACTCATGCTGGTGGTCACTGCGCTCATGATGTACTGGGCGAGCGCCATCTGCGACGGGCCCTGCGGGGGCGGCGGCAGCTTGGCGCGACCGTCTCCTCCCGCAGGGGCGGCCAGGCCGACTCCGCCAGCTGCAGCTTGCCCAGCATCGGCGTCCGTCAGCTCCTCATCGTCCAGCTCCACGGCAAAAGGCTCGCCTGTCTTCTGGCGAATCCGTCGGCCGTCGGCGTCCGCCCCCGCGCCACTCGAGGCCGCGGCAGCGGCGGGGGGCGGGGGCATTGGCGCGAACATGGCTGCAGCCAAATGCGCGCTCCAGGTTCGTCTGGTGAGAATGCGAGAGACTCGGGCCAGGCCGAGCAAAAAGAACGTCTCAGGTCGGCGGGCAGCTCGACCAGGACTCGGAAGGTGCCCGTCCTGCCAGGGCGCCGTCTTGAGCCGAAATGGCCGTAGACGACGACGACGACGACGACGACGACGACGGACAACGACGACCCCTGGACCTCTCATGGAGGCTGGGCCCCCGTGGGCTGAAAGCACCAAGGCACCACACCATACTCACGGGGGGGGCAGCGCACCACAGCAAACCACACACACACAGCACCCTTCAACATCCAGAAGGGGGATCGGCAGGGCGGGGGTCTGGGGGCCGACCCCTGGCCACAGATCGGCTCAGCCCACGCGAACTACCCACTCACATGCACGCGCCCCGCCCCAAACAGAGACGCATTGCATACGGAACGCCATGCCATGAAGCTGAAGCCTACCCCAGGCTGGCCAGTCGAATGACATCGTTGGGGGCGCACGTTGCGAGGCCATGCGCGCATACAACCACGCACACGCGTGGCAAATAGAACGAGGCCGCCTCACGACAAGCCTGCTTCCAAGCTCCAGACACTACCGGGTATGAAAGAGACTAACTATGACAGACGGGCTACAGCCTTACAGCGATAGCCAGATCCGTCTGGGCACGTGCTCGACTCGGGCAAGCGGCAAGCGTGCCAAGCAACAACCGCCAGGAACTTAGATGATGTCCTCTCTCAGAGGAAGTGCGCGCAATGCCGCGACCTCCACCGTCGGACACAAGATTACTTGGGCTACGTCGGCTCGGCATAGACGATTGGACCTCGCATGTGTATTTCGGCTTACCGGGGAAAATCTGCTAGACAAACCCCCGACCTATAGATTCCTGCGTGGCAGCTGGCAATCATACCCCTGGTAGCACAACACAGGGCAGGAGCACGATGGCTACAGCTACGAATGCACGAACCCAGCTAAATACGAGAAACCGAGTGCGCCCACGATATATGATGAAACCCGTGCTAGTTATAGATGTGTGCATAAACTGCCCATGTATAGCCAAGCATAAATTGACGCATAGTCCTCCACCCTCGCGAATATCACGTAGCCCAACGGATGGTGCGCGCCCTGCTTTAGCTCGTGGACAATCACCAACAAAATCCCCTCGTCCAACTTGCGCGCTGCTGCAGCGGGTTCCGCATCTTAACTGACGCGCAAGTACCTCTACACGATCTGGTCGCCATATGTCGTCGCACCAACTACGACCTGCGCCCTGGCACGTTCTCCACGATGCAGGACCGCGGCGCCCACGGCGCATAATCGTTGCACTCGTTGCCCAGCCCGCCACCGAGGACGCGATGGCCCGAGTCGCCGCGGATGTCGACCCCCCTGTCACCCTCGTGGACGGGAAGGTGTCTTCCTTGAGGTCGCCATTGAGCCCTCACACTGCAGTGGGGCGCGCGATCTGGAGGTCGGCGGGTTCCTACTATCTCTGCAAAGACACGACGCTCGCAGCGCGACCCGGGGCAAGAAGCGCGACGAGCCAAGACAGAACGTCTGAAAACCAGTCGCAGGTGTCAGGCGAGGCGGGCGGCCCAGGGACACGCGGACAGGCGAGGCCGAGGTGCGACGAAGCCTCGGCCAGGTAGGATGGGGAAGATGAGAGAAGGAAGATGGCCACGAGAGAAGCACATTCCTTTCCACGCAATCGCCTCGAGATCACCGCCTGAGTCGCTTTCCCGAGGCCAGGAGCTGCCTCGGCCACGCGTCCTCACTTCCTCGCTGGGCGCGCCAGGCGCGGCACTGACCGTTGGTGGCTCGTCGCCCTCGCCAGCGTCGGCTGCTGAACCCGACATTGCGACCGCGCCGACGCTTGGCTTTCTCGCCTCCACGACGCGCCTCCATCTTGCACCTGGCGCGATCGTCGTCGGGCTTCCCCGTCCTCGCTCTTGCTCTCGCCCTTGCCCTTGCCCGCCAGCGGGGCCTCGCGGCCGCGCGAGCCCCTGGGGGCCTGATTGACTGCGCGCGGGCTGGAGGACGGCGGCGGCGGAAAAGAGGGCCTCCACACGGCGGCGCAGCCCACGCCACTGCCACACTCCGCCTCCGCGCCCCATTGCTCATGCTGCTGCGGCGGGAACCGCGGAGATCGGCGCGGCGGGGCGCTCGGCCTGCGCTGGTTTCCTCGGCGGAGGGGGGCGCGGCGACCGGGGCGCGCGCCCCTCGCCCGCGGGCACGGGGGGGTCTCGGCCGCAACCCAGCCAGCGGCCCAGGTCGACCAGTTGCCAAGACTGGCGGCACTGAAACCTCCTCTTGGGGGACCACGAAGACCAGACCTGAAACAACTTCATGTTGAACAGCACCATCCTAACCGAGATGTTGCGTTTTTGAAGGTCAGCATCACGTCGATCAGCCAGCCCACTGCGCGGCGAGCCTCGCGGGCGAAGGCCGCGCGCACTAACGGCTCCACGAGCTGCCGCTGAACGGGCGCTTTCGCGCCACCGTCGCCGCGGCGGCTTCGCTGGCGCGCCCGCACCAGAAAAGGCGCGCACTGCTGGATGCGCATCACTGCACGGTGACAGCGACGATGGAACGCGCGCCCGCCCCTCCCTCGACTGCCCCAGCGCCGCGGGTGGCACTGCCGATGGCGGGGGGCCGCAGGTCGCGCAGCAGGCTCAGCCCTGCGCATGCTGTTAGGATTCACGCAAGGGCGCTCGGAGCCAGACACGGCGGGCGAGCGGCGGCGACGGCGCGCGGGAGACGGCGGACGACAGCGAGACCGGGCGGCTCGGGCCCGCAGCTGCCCCGCCCCCCTGGCCGCGCACTCTGATCGACCCCCCAGCCAACGCCGCGCCCGCAGCGATGGCGGCGGCATCATGGGCGGCATGCCTGGCGGTTTTACTAGGGGCGGGTACTTGACACGGCAGAAACGTCGCAAACCGTTCGCGCTCAATATGCGTGGGGCGATCACTGGGCGCCTCGGATGCCGACCGCAACGAAAGCACTTCCGTTGGGGAGACTGCAGGCTCTCTCCTCAGCTGCTGCGTCGGCGGCATCGGAGGCTCAAGTGACTCCCCCCTCGGCACGCGGCCGACGCACGCGGCCGCAGGCGGCCGCCGGCGCGCGGCGGCGCGCGGCGGGACGCGCACGCGGGCCCGCTGGCGCACAGGCCTCGCGGCGGGGCCCCGAGCGCCAGGGCCGGCCCGCGCGCAAACCTGCCGTTGAGAAAAATGGCGGCGGACCCATCTGCCCCTTTCTCTGCCTATCCTAACTGACGTCATACCTCCCGCGAGCGCACACCCGCACACACATACATTCTCAGTCTATTTCTACGACAAGAACCGCGCCGACAACTGTACCTGGACTGTCGCGCTGCCACATGCCCCCAAACCACGGCGCACGCGACGACGAACCTCCCACCCAAAATCCAAATAAGGGAGGACGCTTGGACTGGAGATGGAGAGCGGAGCAGTCCTGATCACTGTTCATTGTTAGTCTACGGGCGCCGGCTGGCGCTCCTGGCCTGAGAGCGAAGTGAGATCGCCAGCCACGTGGAGAGCGACGGCGCACGGCGCGCGCGCGTCCGACGGCGGGAGCCGCCAGCTACGTCATGGAGAGCAGCTATGTCGATGCTGCCATCGGTGAGTTAATCGGCAACCTTGCCCCGTGTCTTCCCAGCTCAAGGCCCTTCAGTTGACCCGAGCACAAGGAATTGCGAAGCCAGATCACGCGCGGCAACAACGAATGTCATGCTGGGGCATGTGGTCTGATACCCGTGGCGGGCCTGACCACGCCGATGGAAACCGGGCAGAGTTCAATCCGCAGTGCAAGCGGTCGCTGGCCGTCTCGTCGGCGACGCGCGGCCTCGGGACCACGCGGGCCCCTGGGAACCCCGCGGAGCGCTCCGGGTAGAGCGAGGCCGTGATCAGTCGAGCTGATCACGGCCAGCATCAGCTCACTTGCGAAGGTGCTGCCTGCCACCGCTTTGACAGCACCGCGCTGCCAATCCGGTAGGCGGCGCGCTTGTCGAACAACGAATGCCCTCTTTGCGCCCGCGTCTGCGGCGCCCACGCGCGGGAAGGTAACCGCTCGGAGCGCGCGTCATGCGTCGACACCATATTTCTGTTCTTTCCTAGACGCTGCGCCACTGTGTACTTGTAACGCACCTGCGCAGCGCATCAGTGGATAGTGAACCCTCCGCGTGAGCCCGCGCGGTGTTTGGCGATAAACTCGTTGTCGTATAATGTGGGGTGTGGCTCGGCACATACTGTTAATGATTTTGGTGAACTGAATGGGCCAGCATCTCGGCGCGACCTTGAAACTGGCGCCTGATTCCTCCGCGCGGAGGACATCGAGCGCCGCGTCGGTGTTGTCATGCGCTTCAACCTTCGCAGAACGGCGACGGCGCAGGCCCAGAGCTCGAAGATGCCATCGCGCCCCCTCCCCATCCGCAACTCCCAGAAGACCCTGGTACCTCACTCACTTCAAGAAGGCGCTCTTGACATCAAACGCATCGATCTTCCATCCTCGGCATGTCGCATTAGAGACGATTACTCGCTGCGAGAGTCGCGATGAGGTGCCGGCGCATGCGGCTTTGAGATCAACGTCGACGTCCTCGGAGCATCGGAGTGTCAGCCTCATGCGGGTGATCCACCGTTTGTGCAAGGTCTGGTTTATTTGGCGCCCACTTCCACTTGCCTATCCAACTACGACCATGAATGTTGAGTGCTCCGCGGGGTGGGCGCCGTAAGAAGTACTTGGGGTTCACCACTGATTGAAGATCCTCGAGCACCGCAACTGCGACTGCTGCCGCGGGCTTCCTGGACTCTTCGGGGGCGAGCAGGTCTGCGCCACGCACACCCAGCTGTCTCGAATCCTGCCACGTAGACACAGAGGCGCGCACACTGCCCGTCTGGGACGGGGTTGTCTACAAAATATGTGCGCGTTTCG